CTATGTTCTAAGATCACCTCCAGCTCTGACATTCTATGTTCCAAGGTTTCTCTGCCATCTCTGACATTCTATGTTCTAAGGTCCCCTGCAGCTCTGATATTTTATGGTTCAAGGTCCCCTGCAGCTCTGACATTCTATGTTTAAAGAGCCCTTCCAGTTCTGACACCCTATGTTACAAAGCCCTTTCTAGAGCTAATGTTTTAGGACCATTAGAGAGAGGAAAGTGTGACTAGGTGACTGCTTGAGCTTTGTCACTGCCAACCCATGGGGAACCGAAAAGGCAATTTCTTCAATGTGTTTATAGGATTGGCCATTTCACAGCCCTGAGTGAGTTATGAAAGATAACACTTGTAAACTTCAGGGAAATTGTATTTGTTGTTGTGGAGGTGGTGGTTGTGGTTATTGTTTATTTTTTCTCTGTTGGTTAGAAGCCATCATGCACAGGGCTAAATTTCAAGGGTGCATCGTGGCCCCGTTGTCAATAACAAAGAACTGACTCCATATGATTTAGCAGCAACTGGATAATGTCGCAGGTCAGTGGCTTGATTTCTCTTTGTTGAGCTTAGCAGGGCACGTCTGAGTTGAAGTGAAATGCAGAGTGCTAATTTTGCATTCTCAGACTATGCGCAAATGTCAAGGTGCAGCAGATAATTTCATGGAAGTTCAAATTGTGATCAACCTCCAGAGAACCATATTTGTTCAGCATATCACCATCTCCCTCCATTTCCCTTCTCTGTCCACACCTTTGCACTAACTGTCCCGCATGCCTAGAATCCTCTCACTCCTCACCTCTGCCTCTTAAAACCCCTGGTTTTCTCGGAGACTCAACTATAACCTTTGGCCTCCCTCAGCTATAACTTTTCTGGCCTCCCCTCCTGCCCCTCTGGTTGCTAGTGCCTTACCCTTTAGGGTTCCTTTCATCCACTCTGAATTTATTTTATATATATTTATTTATGTATTTATTGTTTCCTCTGTCAAAATATAAGCTCCCTGAAGTCAATTACTATTATTTTCCTCTCTTTGTATCCCTAGTACTTGGCACAGTGCCTGACACATAGTAAGTGATTTAAAAGTACTTGATATCTATATATGCATAGGTATACATATATATTTACATGTGTGTACATAAATACATAATATATAGTTTTTAAGCCTTTAAATGACTCTATGGGTTGAAATCCACTTTCCCTTTTTAATTAACTGTATCCAAGTATCCTTTTCCTACCTCTGCAAGCCAAAGATTCATAGTCTACTTGAATCCTAGTTATTTGTGGGAATTTGCTATCATGTTATTTTGGATCCCAAAGAGTTGTGACTTGGGCCCTGTCTCTGAAGTAAATTGTGACTGGTATGCTCACTATCACCCTCAGAGTGATATAATTGCAATGGCTTTTGTGTCTCTTCTGGAGATGACTTCTACAATAGAATGTCATACTGGGCCTCATGGAAACTAATCAAGATGACTTTTCTCGATCCTGCCAAGAGTTAACTGATTCAATAACATTTCCAGTTTTTAAATCCTGCTCCTCCATATTATACATTTAAAAGAAAATAATTCCCAAGTAGAAGCACAGGATTTATTAGATTTTGTTTTGGTATTAAGGAAATTGAGGCAATTGAGTGAACCACACTGACTCCATCTTGTGACTCAATTCTGGATCTTGCTCAGTTCCCTTTCAATGGAAATACACCCAATTCAATAGAACCAATTATGGGTCTAGTCCAATTTCTGTCTTGTGAGAAAAGTTTATTCAATTATGGGAATTGTGAGAAAGCTTTATTACATTGTTTAAATCTAATTCTGTGTGGCTGGGAAACTGAGATCACTTCTCCCTGCTGCTTAAAGACCCTTAACCAAGGATCTAGGTTATGCTGACCAGAAACCCAGTCAGATCTGAAGACTGATGAAAGTAGTTTTCTCAGTTCTACATCTCAAGCAACCCATATGCCTTATCTGAAAACTGGCCCCTTATTTTGGTCACTCTAATCTTTTCTCCAACTGGAAATCAGATTGCCTAATTTTGTATCCTGGTTTTCTTTTAATTGGTCTGATTTGATTAATTGTTTTTTTTAATAAGTAAAAATCTTTCTTCCCTTGTTTTCCAGATCCAGTGCCAGGCTGAGGAGGCCGGTCCCAGTTTGTTGAGCAACTGGCATGCAT